TTCGAACCTGCCACCGCCTGCTCCGTGGGCCGGGCTGCCCGGGACACTGCTCCCGCCGGAGGAGCCCAGTGGCCGTCCCTCGATGGTTCTCCTGGGGCTCGGCATCGCGGCGGGCGGCGGGTCCCGGGACCCGGCCAGACCGGAGAGAGGCTTCCCGGCCCCGCAGCCTCTTCCGCTTCCGCACTGCCATCCTGGAGGGCGGGCCGAGGAACGGCAGAGCGCGATTGTGACACCTGGCGGAGACGTGGGAGGGGACCGGGTTATCCAGCTAGAGGAAGAGCAGGGAGGATGCTGAGGCTGGGAGGTACAGGTGAAGGATGCAATGATGGGGTCATTTCAGAGTCTGTGGGAGCTTAGGAGATACACGGCCCTGTTGCACAAAAACAAATATTGATTGCCTTCCTCTTCTTTTTAAGATTTCTTGCCCGGGAGTGTTCCTGCCGTACAAGCAAGGTGTGTACCTTGGAGTCTACCTCCTGAATCAGTACCTGGAGACAGACTGCTTTCCTTCTGTGTTCCCTATTGCGATTCAACAGAACATGAGATTTGAAAAGGTGATCTTGACTTCTCAGTGAGTTTGGCTGTCTGAAGTCAGCGGAATACTTACTATAAAGAATAGTGGTTTTGTACATTTTTTTTTTCCTTTTTAAAAAAGTGACCCTAAGGCAATTCAGTATAGTTTAAAAGTACAGGCGGCCTTGGGGCAAAACCATAGGTTTAGAAGATTGCTTTTGCTCTGCAGGTCCGAGCCAAGTTATATCAATCGAGTGCTGAACACCCCGGTGGATGCTTTCTATTCTTGGCTCTCCCTTGGCATTTTCTAACTGGAGCAGAGAGCGTTTCTGAATGTTCTTTGAGGTGTTAGAGACAGTTGCATCACATTTATGAAAGGGGCTATTAATAAACCACAGACCTTAAGAAAACTTTCTTAAACCCAGAAAAATAATTTAAAACTCTAAGTCAGTTAAATCTTGTGGCTGAAATCTTGTAACTAAATAGAAGAAAGCTGTTCATATGTTCTGAGTTACCTTAAGTGTGTTATGTAGCAGTAAATAGTAAAGGCTAGATTCCACTCCAATGAATGCCATCATGATTCAAAAAATACAGCCAAACACTAGTCAGGGCTTCTCATTACACTGTGCTGGAGAATATTCATTCTGTTTCATTAATCTGCAACCACCAACTGTCCCCTAAGGTTTTGGATTTGGAGATGAAATTGGAGTTATCTTTAGTAAACCTAATGATTTTGCCCCAACAGTGTCACTGAGGGGAGAGGGGTTGGGGGCCCAGGGAAGACTGCATCACATCACCTTCAAAGGCCTGGAAGACAGTGCCTTTTGACCCAAAGATGGGAGAAAATATGAAGATTATTTGAGCATTTTTTTAAAAAAAGTACAGCCTATTCACTTAAAAATATGTCAAGCTGGTTGGGTAAAAGAGCAAATGGTTATTATCCTGGGAGATGCAGTCGAACCCAGACAATCCTCCTGAACACATGTGGGCGATGGGCATGGTGGAGAAGTAGGTGGTGAACAGTGTTTTCCCTCCCAACATTTCTCCACTTACCAGTTTCAGTAGACCTGTAGAAGATTTCTAAGATATGGCAGTAAGAATCTCATAGATATAGAATTGTGAAAGCACAGAACAACACATCCATCGATCACCTTGTGGACTTACCTAGTCCAATCTCATTTGTTTTTTAGAAGAAGAATGTCTGAGACTAAGACTTTAGATGCTTCTCTGCTGCTGTGTAGAAACGCTGTTGTCCTGAGATTACTAGTGAAGCATACCTCAGGACCATTTCTTTCCTCTTCTGAAACCAATTTGTTTAGGTTCACATTCTAGTTTCTTCTGGTTCCAGGTTTCTTGCAATGTTTCATTCTTTAGGCGAAAATATTTTTATAGCAAGTAGCAAAAGCATTTTCTTTCCCTACAGCCTTTGCAGGACTCAAATTTGAATATTTAAAAGCATCTGGGTAAACAAAATTTTCATAAAAAATTATAAGCCATTGTATTTGAATGGACCAAGCTGCCCCACCAAGTGCCCTATGGTCACAGGTGAGAAAACCCTTTCATGAGACATATTAGACTCTTAGAGCAGGCGTACTGAAGTAACCCGTGGGCAGCAGACTTACTGTGGCAGTACTGGGATCTAGAAGTCAGAGCAGAATGTCGGTGGGGTCGTGGTACTTCCCGAGGCATAAGGAAGGATACTCCCCTGATTTATAGCACCGCAGCGCCAGTATACACCATGACACCATTTCTTCTCTCTAGTGCACGGAGTTAAAAAACATTCTGAGCATTAGACCAGAGAGACTCCAGTTCTTTAAATCAAAAGAATATATGTGTGAATAGTAAAATAAAAGCAGAGACTTCGTGGATGAGAAATGCCAGGTGATCTAGGCTCGGTCTGTCTGCTCTGACCAATCAACTGCATTTGCTTTCTCTGCTTTGCATACCCAAGTAGAAAACTGTGCCCGTTTGTAATCGTGGCCCCTCTGAGCACTGCCTGGTTCATGAATTTCTCTCTGCTCAAGTACATTCATGAATTTGTTTTAGTTTTATTTTTAACTTTAAAAGCGTGAGTTTTTGTGCTCAAATACTTACTTAAATAAAAAAAAGTCATGTGTTAGGTGCCCAACCTACTCCAATATGACATCATTCAAATTTGAACTAAGCATATCTATATTGACTGTATTTGGAAATAAGGTCATATTCTGAGATCCTGGGGTTAGATGTCAACCTGTGAATTTTGACAGGGACACAATTCAACTGATAGCAGTTGAAATGAAAAGATGCAATTATTTAAATAGTTTAGGCAAAAATAATGTTGTCCACATTTACTTAATAAATGCAAGCAGCAAAACAGTGTCTTCTTTTGCCCTTAAAAGAGACCTGACTTTGAAACCTCAGGCAGAATTTTAACCGAGCTTATCTTTAAACATCATTTAAGTCAGAAGTCTAAAGGCTAAATGTACCTCTGAAAAGCTACTGGAAACCTCTTGTTTTCAGAAGGTCCTTGGGGACCTGTTCTGTTTCAGTGATGCTTCTGAACCTTTTATTTCAATAATGAAATATGCAGATCTGACAGTGTTAAGGTGATATAGTAATGTTTTCCTGGGGTTTCTCCCACCCCCGGCCTCCACTTGTCTTTATGTTACATATGGTTAAAATTTTTATTTGCCTTCCTATTTAGTGTAACCAATTGCATGGGCAGAGGAGTCACCTAGTTAACACTCGATGAGTACCTGCCGTGTGCAGGATGCTTTTCTATGCATCAAGACTCAGGTTGATGATGGTGTTTGCTTGTATAGTAGGTCAAACTGATGGCACTCTAAGCATGCGATAGAGTTAGCTAACTCAGATTTCTTTGTACTTAGCATTCAGATCATTTTAATTCTCCTATACTACAACCATTTGTTGTACTTTTACCACAGACCTCCCGAAAATGTTCCTGTTGAAACCTAAAATATTATATGGCTTGGTTTTCTATGTGTTGATTACTTGAAAGAACATAAACTATGGTTTATAGAAATACTTTTTACTAAAACCTTGAAAATATCTCTTCCTTGTTTTTCTGTAGGTATTTGAAAATGCAATCGATCCCGGAGCAGTTGCAGAAATTTTAGAAAGTAGGTACTTAGCAGAAAAAAGACTCATATGTAATTCCCAGGTACAGAATTCTGCTGCTTCTGAAGTGTGATATTTCTGTGTTTTAGCAATATTTAAATTTAGGAAAACTCTAGGGTGAAATTTTGTTCGTGATTTATTTGTTGTTGTTTGGCTTTTAGAGAAATAATCTTGCTATGTAGTCTAGACTGGCCTTGAACTCCCACCTGTCTCCACTATACAGGGTCCTGGGATTATAGGCCTATGTCATTACACTAACCTTTAAATTTTTAAATTTATTATTGTTATTTTGTGTGTGTGCACACACAAGTGTGAATATGGGTATGGGTGTGCCATGTGTGCTCGAGACAGCGGACTCTGTTGGTGAGTTGGTTCCCTCCTTTCGTTGTGAGTTCTTGAGATGGAACTCAGGTCCTTGGGCTTCTGTACCTTTACTCACTGGGTCATCTTCCACCTATCACATCTGCCTTAAATAATTTTTTTTGTTATATACATTTTCTCAGTATAGATGTGAAGCCAGATGTGGTGGCACCTGATTTTAACCTTAGTACTTGAAAGACAGAGGAAAGAGAATCAGGAGTTCAAGGTTAACTTTGATAATATATCTAGCTTGAGGCTAGCCTGGGCTACCTAAGACATTGTCTCTAAAACTACCACCACCACCACCACCACCAACAACAACAATAAAGTCCTCAAAATTTTATATTATAGATATGATTTTTCTGGATGATATGATTTTGTTTGGTTTTTGTAAACATTAAGGAGATTCTGTTACAGCAATCAATTAGATCATTTGATCAATTAGAACATTTTCAATGCCACAAAAAGATATTCTACACCTGCTAGCAGTCAGCTTCCTATACCCTTTTTACTGTCCTGTCAAATGCAAATGCCAGTTTCTTCATCCCAGAGCCCAGACTGTCCTCAAACTCCTTTCTCTGTCTCTGGAGAGCTGGGGTTACAGGAATCTGCCACCTTGCCCAGTGAGCAGAGGTCTGCTCATTTTGGATATTTCATTTTCTTCGTTCTTCTGCTCCTCATTTGGACCTTGGGGGGCTCAGTCCGGTGCTCCAATGTGGGTCTCTGTCTGTATCGCCATCCATCGCCAGATGAAGGTTCTATGGTGATAAGCAAAATATTCATCAGTATGGTTATGGGCCAAGGCCGGTTCAGGCACCCTCTCCTCTGTCCAGAGATCAAGGGGATTCGAATTGGAAAGGATGAAGTTAAACTTTCATTATTTGCTCACACTTTGTTTTTCTAATCATCAATTAATGGTGAAAACATTTGAATATAATACAGTATATGTGACTATTACAATATATACATATATGTGACTATTTGTATATATACAATATATGTGACTATTTGTGTATAAATTTTATATGGAAATGTGTTTCCAACTCTCTTGGACATGCTCATGCATACACATGTACACATACATACAGACATATACACGTTTATATAAGTGGATCACATAGTAACTTACAGTATGTTTAGAAACTTTTAAACCTCCTACACTACTTACCAAAGCAGCT